GCTGACTATGATGCCGGCGAAACGTGTGGGAATGTACCACGTCCACTGTCCGACTGGATATTATCATGCATACAATGGACTCCGGACTAGGTGCGTTTCTCTAAGTCTTCCTACCAATATGACCAAGTCATGACAACAAGGTCATATAACGTCTAGACAACGAAAGGAGACTGCGACCATACAAAAGGCCGCAGCATCTTGGTCTTCATACATACATGGTATGTTGATTCTTCTTAATCGCTGGCTTGGCAGGGTCTCCATAACTTCATCACTATTCAGATTAGAGCCAGTTTCCTGTCTCGTTATTGGCCGAACTTCTTTTAGAACTATGCCCTCTGCTTTTGAAAGTACATTCTAACTTGTTTATTTATCTTAAAAGCGAAGCCCCATGTGATGATTGGATAAATGTTGTGTGTCCTTTTCGCAAATTGTGTTGGACTTTGAATTTCACAGGGGCTTTGGGCTAAATGAACCAATCAACCGCGAATTTTTTTTAGTATTAGGTGGCCAAGGATTGCTTAAAGCCGCTTTCAAGTTGTTTGTCATCCAGTCTCCGCTTACTTTATCAAATTAAGGAATAGACAAATAGTATAGCTTTGTTGTGCGAAAAATTGGCTCCTCTAAGTTGTAGCTTCCTTTTGCCGGCCCATGCACATTGCCCTAGCAACTTTCAGGAAGAACCTTTTGCACCACACGAGTTCAGTCGAGATCGTCTTGAACACCTAATTTGCTACTATTCGGCAGTATTTGACCTTTCAACTAAGTTTATTTTGGTATTACAATTCGTTGTATTAACAGATGACAAGGGCTGCTAAATTTGCTCTCAAGAGACTTCAGATAAGGCTAGTAGGCATACTTAGGCCTCATGAATATCGTTTTAGTCCAGTCATGGGTGTTGTCCTTAAAATTCTCCATTATTCTTTCTATGAACATACGTTAAACAGCTGTCTTATACGTTCGCATGAATTCTGGAATATTTACAGTATGGCTATACGCCAGATTCTCTTTAAGCGTGTCAGTTCTAAGTCTGTACAGAATTTGCTTTCATATATCAGCCGTAGCCCTTTTTGCAAGGGGACTGTCATTAGAATCTACCTCGTCCTTCCCACGCCCTTTGTCATCCATCTCCGGCTCAGCCTTCACTACGTCTTGGGTGATCCTTACCTTGTACAGCCGTCTGTGCTGACCTGCATGCTTTCAGTCGACCGTTTGGCAAGAATCTACAAGTGCTGTTTGCAAGTGCCACGTTCTGCAACACTCTCATTGTCTGTCAGTCACACAGTCGGAGACACCGACCGCGGTAACCTGGGCGCCTCTTAACCGGTTAACCCGACCAAAGAGATGTATTGCCTGACCATACCAAAAATCTGTTGTCAATATTTTTTTCTTTGTAGTTCACTTTTGCCTTTTTATTGCGGTTTCTCCGGCTGGAACATTCTAAATTGGGTCAGTTACACAGTGCCTTTTGGTTGGTAGACTACAAACAGCGAGGTCAATCAGTTTGTCTTTTTATTCCAGCTTTGTTTAGGAGTGGCGCTCTGCCCTTCATCTCTGGACCTTGCTTAATCCGCCTCACAGGGACGAGAGGATGCATTGAACTGCCGAGTCTCACTTTTATTCTTTTAGGTTGATGCTATCACTATTTGTAGTAAATCGAAGAGAAGACAATTGTGTGCTTTTCAATTAACTCGGTGCGTCGCTTAAACCATGTTAGCAGTAACCTGATCGTGCAATTCGGATCTCTGATAGCCTTGAACAGCTTTACATTTGCAAAGTTCTATACTCGAAGAGTTGAATGATTCAGTTAAACCATTTGCTTTGTCAAGCACCGATACTTAGTATGCAGCTGATTAATTGTAATCAACATTTACTTTATGATATGTATTCACCCTATTTCGTTTATGCTGATGAAGGGCTGGTAGTAGAATTTTCTCACAATGATATGAGTAGAGCTGACGTTTTCATTGAATATCACATAGCCTTGCCTCCCCACAAGTTGTGCTCATCCATGGTGGACTGCAGTTTCGACCTCGCATAGGTCTTATCAACACCCCCAGCGGGAGTGATATGACAAAAGGCCTTCCTTTAAATTCACATCTTCCCTATGACCCAACGGCACTCGTGGCAATGTGGCCGAGTCGTTAACGTGTCAAGTTCACATGCTGCAGCGTCACGGTTCGACTTCCGCTGGGATTGTTGATAAGACCTATGCGAGGTTGAAACTACAGTCCAGCCCGGATGAGAACAACTTCTTGGGAAAGTAGGGCTATGTGAAATTGAATGGAAACGTAATCTCTACTCATATCATTGTGGGAAAATTCTACCACCAGTCCTTCATCATCTTAAACGAAATAGGGTAAATACATCTCAGAGATCTACTGGTGGTCTCGAAACTCTACTTACATACGAAAAACATTTACTTTTCCTTACGATTCCCTTCTTCATCTTTGCCAAAATTTGGTTCTCAGCTAAGCTGAGCTGCAGTTCCGATATTGTCTGAACCTAACCATAATCCCCAACCAGAAGTACACCAATGAGGTGTGGCGTCGCAGGCGAGAACGTCGCTATCTAGACCGCCTACTCCTCGCCGGCTTTAGCACGCATTGTGATCATGTACTTTTTGGCTGTTTGCCCACCTATTCTGTCGTAAAGTTACCTGCTTATAGGATCGAAGAGTTGCTATGATTCGTTGAGTCTCTTTAGATAGTATCGTTGTGGAGACTTTCGTTTCGTAAGAAAGTCCACGATGAAGAGCTTTGTTGGTTGACCTCATCGGAAGACGACGGCCTATTCCTTTCGTTATGCATCCATTTGACTTTAGTACG